GAGAGGGGGAGAGAGAGAGAGAGAGAGAGAGAGAGAGAGAGAGAGAGAGAGAGAGAGAGAGAGAGAGAGAGAGAGAGAGAGAAAAGTAAAATAAATAAAAATGTAAATTAAATTATTGACAACATTAAAAACTACATGGCGAAATCTCAAATCTGTGACAACACTTGAAAACAAGTTTAAATTGTATTTTTTATATATTTATATATTTTATAAATATCACATATTTTGTGAATTTATGTAACAAAATGAATAAGTTGTCACTAATATAACCAAAACAAATAATAATTAAAACGAACATTAATACTAATATTAATAATACTAATAATATTAATATTAATATTAATAATACTTATACTAATACTAATATGTGTGTGTGTGTGTGTGTGTAATGTAAAATTGTATTCATTAAATAAATACATTTTGTCAATTTATATAACCAAATTACTAATAATTACTAATTAATTATTAAACAAATGATGAAATATTAAATACAGATATTAAATACATAGATACATAGTTAATTATATTATAAACACAGATGCATGATCCAACACATTAAGCTGTAGTGCTCAGTGAAACCCATGCTAGAATGCTAGAAATATAAAATTAATGAATGTGTGTTATATCACTTAATACAACCACAGCTACAAATGGTTAATTGATATACAGTATGTTTTGTGTGTTTAGTTAACTACACTTACTGAAAAAAACAATTTCCACTTTCTGTTTTTTAAATGTTCAACTGTGAGAGATAGAATATAATATATTACTCTTCACAATATAAAGAAGTGTTATCAAAATGTATATTGCAGAAATAGTATATCACATCATATTATCCACAGCTTAATGTGCCAATCACTGGCATCCTACAAAATGCAGGATGTAATTCATCCCATAAGTTTCTCTCCCCTTCTATCCAGCTGAACCGTTCTCCTTCACCCCCTCTCCCTGCTTTATTTCACCTGGTAATCTCTTTGCACGTATCAGAGCCTCCTTGTGCAACTTTTTATCAGGTCTAACAGATGTATTGAAGAGCCAATCACTGAAGTTGCCTACAGCCCGGGCTGGCGTTCCCTCTGCCCTGCTCAATAAATGAACAGACATCCATCACGCTTTAATTGACACAGTTAATCAGCTTTTATAATTGGATGGATTCTGCCCGATTCCACGCGACAGTATTCTGCCTCCACAGCACCTCGTCTCTGATTCGCTTTCAAGCGCTTTCTCTCTCACCTCGCCTTGATGTGGAGGCGGTGGGGGAAAAGGCAGACGAACTGCTTTCGGTCTCAGATTCCCCCACCCTTGCTCCCTTTTTGCTGTAATCAACACAAAACAGAGCGAGCGATGTTCCTGCTGTTACAGAGGCTGATGTAAGGTGTGTCGAAACACAGGTTTCTGGAGGTGTAACAGAGTGGGCTCTGAACATCTTGTGCTGTCTAACAGCAGGGCGTCAGGCCTGACCTGAGGGGACTAAACTCCGCCTGTGGGTAAATCTCAGAGAGTGCCTCCCCTCCTCTCACGGTGGGATACAGCCAACAACCTGCAATTCTCCTATCATGGCTGACAGAAACAGGTTCAGACTTGTAACAACGAAATTGTAAGAGACGGTAGTAATTCTGTCAGGAAGATCCAGT